AAAGCGTTTTGAGACAAAGACCTCCAAAATTACTATTGAGTTTGTTTAGTGTTGTACATCCGCTGATAGGCATGAGACCTGCCTGCCCTTAAGAGGGGTTTGAATCGTCAGTGAGAATTATTTTTTAAAAGTTAAGCTTCAATTTGTAAATGGTTATCAGTAAGAGATACCTTCTGGGTTTTAAATTGGGGTTTGGGTCCTCTTCCATCCCACAGTCTCACTGGATTCATATATGCATCAGTTCCCTGTGTTTAGAAATCATTTTTTCCTTGATGTCCTTCATCCACTCTGCATTTTAAATTCTAGTCCTCTTCCACGGTGTTCCTGAGCCCTGAAGGGAAAGATTTGGTAGAGTATTATCAGTTAGAACTGAGTGTTCTATGGTCTCTAACCTTATTCTCATTGTTGTCTGTGCTTCTCTGTATTTGTTCCCATATACTGTAGGAAGAAGTTTCTCTGGTGATGGTTGAGCAAGGCACTGACTTATGAATATACCAGAATGTCATTAGGAGTCATTTTATACTATTTTCCTTCAACAGAAAAGTAGTTATCAGGTTTTCCCCCAGGTCTCTGGCCTATCTTGTTCCTCAAGTTCTTGGCCACCTAAGCAATGTCAAGATGGATTTTCTTATGTAGTGGGCATTCAGTGCAGTCGGATATTGTTTGGTTACTCTCACAAATTCTGTGCCACTACTGCACCAGCACATCTTTCAGGCCAGACTTTGCTGTACATCAAAGGATTTAGAGTTGGGTTGGTGTGTATCTTCCTCCTCTGATAGTGTGCAGACTACCTTCCAGTACCAAGAGCACTAGTCAGTAAGGGTGTGAGCTGTCTAGCCTCTGAGTAGATAGCTGCTTGTCTTTCCCATGTTCAATGAGTTGTGTAGGTATTGTCTTAAAGAATAGAACTTTACAATTAGTTCATAGATACCAACAAATAACTTTTTAAGGATTCTCATAGACCCCCTAGGGCAAACAGTTATGTTAAATATAATCTATACCCAGAACTGAAGACTTTGTTTGGTAATGAGAGATGTCCAGTATATTAATATTTATTAGGAAGCCTCTACTGTGTTAAGTTTCCATATGACACCTCAAATGATCCTCGGTTTTAGCTGTTTATCTTTTGTTTTTTCCAAACTCACCCTTCTCCCTTCCCTCCCAGTTTGACTCTCCTGGTCAAATTCCCCCTCCTTGCCCACTTATAACATTGTATTCCATTTCTCCTTCTGAGGGAAATCCATTCCTTCTTGCTAGTCCCTTATCTATAGCTAATCTCAATGCTTAGATGAATGCAGTATCTTACCATCCACATAAGTGAATACTTACTGTACTTGTTTCTTTGGTTCTGGGTTACCTCAGTCAGAATAATTTGTTCCAGTTCCATCCATTTACCTAATTTCATAATTTCATATTTTAACAGTTGAGTAATTCCATAGTGTAAATGTGTGATGTTCTCTTTATCTATTCTTCAGTTTCCAATTTCTGAATATTATGAATACAGCAGCAATTAAGATGGTTGATTCTCTGTGATAGAATGAGTGTCTTTTGGATATATATGCCCAAGAATGCTATAGCTTAGTCTGAGGAAGATCAGCTCCCATCTTTCTGTGGAACTGGCACACTGATTTCCATAGTGGCTATACAAGTTTGCACCCCCATGAGCAATGAAGGAATATTCCTTTTATTCCACATTCTCTCTAGTACTACCTGTCATTCATTTTTAGCCCTTCTGACAGGTGTAAAATGAAATATCAAAGTAGTTTTGATTTGCATTTCCCTAATGACTAAGGATGCTGAACATTTCTTTAAATTTTTCTCAGACATTTGATCTTACCTTTTTTTCTGTATTCTCTGTTAAGATCTATACCTCTGTGGTAGTTTAAAAGAAATGCCCCTCCAAAGAGAGTGGCGCTATTAAGGGGTGAGGCTTTGTTGGAGTAGGTGTGACCTTGGTGGAGGAAATGAATCATTGTGAGAGTAGACTTTGAGATCTCCTATGCTCACATTACTCCCAGTGAGACAAATCATTGCCTGTTGCCCCCAAGATGTAAGACTCATGACGACTTCTCTAGCACCATGTCTGCCTGCACACACTGCCTTGTTTCACCATCATGATAATGGACTGCGCTTCTGAACTATAAGTGAGCCAGTTCTATCAAATGCTTTCCTTTATAGGAGTTTCCATTGTCATGGCATTTTTTCACAGGTGTAGAAAGACAACGCCTCTTTTAATCAGGAATATAGGTTGTTTTCCTGATGTACAGTTTTTAAGTATTTATAAATTTTATTTATTAGCTTTTTATTGGATGTGTAGCTGGTAAAAAAATATTTTTTTATAATAAGTAGACTGATGCTTTCTCCAAATGTCCAAATGATGTTTCCTTTACCATACACAAACACTTCAGTTTCGTGAGGTTAATTTATTAACTGCTCTTATTGCTTGTGATATTGCTGTTCTGTTCAGAAAGTTTTTTCTGATCCAGTGAGTTCAAGAATATTCTATTCAATTCTCTTCTATTGTATTAAGTACATCTGGCCTTATGCTGAAATCTTTTATCCATTTGGAGTTTAATTTTGGGTAGAGTTTTAAGTGTAGATCTATTTGAATTCTTCCATATGCAGCTACCCAATTTGAACAGCACCACTTCTTTAAGTTACTGTCTTTTTCCCAATATGTATTTATTTCTGCTTTATATAAAAACAACATTCATAATCGTGTGAACTGATGTCTAAGTCGTCAAGTAGATTTCATTCATCAACGTGTCTGTTTGTGTCATTTTCATGCTGTTTTCATTACTGTAGCTCAGTAGTATAATTTGAAATCAGCGATCCTGAGACCACCAGAAGTTTTTTTATTATTCAAGATTATTTTAGCTATACTGGACTTTTTGTTTTCACATGAATCTGAATATTGTCTTTTCAAGTTTTGTGAAGTATTGTATTGGAATTTTTATGATAATTACATTGAATCTGTAGTTTTATTTTGATAGGCTGATAATTTTTTACACAACTCTATTAGTAACTTTCCTTGTTGTGACTACACAACAGACAAAAAGTAATTTAGAGTTGAAGAGTCATTTGCTTTACAGATTTTGAGGATACTGTATATTGCGGCTGGGAAATCCTGGCAGCGGGGTGATTAGGCAGCTTTTCATATGGCATCTGTAGTTAAGAAGTAGTGAACAATTGGGCAATGGTGGCACACCCCTTTAATCCCAGCACCTCAAAGGCAGAGTCAGGTGGATCTCTGTGAGTTCAAGGCCAGCCTAGTCTACAGAGTGAATTCCAGGACATCCAGGAATACACAGAGAAAACCTGTCTCGGGGAAAGAAGAGAACAAACAGAAGTGCAATTAGACTATCAAACCTCAAGTCCCAGCAGGCCAGGGGTGGCGCACACCTTTAATCCTGGCACTCCGGGAGCAGAAGCAGGCAGTTCTCTGTGAATTCGTCGCAGTCTTGTCTACAAGAGCTAGTGCCAGGATTGGCTCCAAAGATAGAGAGAAACCCTGTCAAAAACACAAACAAAAACAAAAAGACAACCTCCAGTCCCACCTACTCAAAGCTCCACTTGACAAAGGTTGCACAACCTTCTTGAATTGTTCAACCACATGAGCTATGGCTGTCATTCCACATTCAGACAGTGACAGGGTTCCAGCAAGGGCAAGGAAATCACTACTGGGGGTCTCAAATTCTACATGGTGACATTTTTAGCTTCAAGGTATTCTAGATGCTCATGATGAACATACATATTTTAGGTAAATTAAGTGATGTTTTGTGTATTATTGAATGAAAATAAATGAGTAAACTTATGAAAAAATGCTGACTGTCATAAATGAAGGATCCCTACTTCCAAAAAGAGAGAAATAATACACATGCACACCTACTTGGAAGATTCTTCCATCCTGAATGACTTCATGATGTTCAGTTTGGTGTCGTGGCCTATGCCAGGAGAATATGTTGCAAATGGAAAGATTATAGGGTCATGAGAGATTCATAATTTACGTGGAGTTAGAATATTGACCAAAAGCCAAATTAGTTTGAACAATTTACAGTATCCTCATTTTATTTCATTTCCCACCTCTGTGTTTGATTGAACAAGCTTTAAAAAAAATTCTTTAACATGTATTAGTAACAGATAAATAATTTCAACCAATCCAGAAACTAAGGATACTATTGGATAGTAACCCAGACATATAGCAGTTTTCTCTGCCTTTCTGCAAGGCAGCTATGCACCCCTTCCCCACCCGCCATCAGCATATATGTTAAAAGTCTTGATCTTTGACTTTATTCATTTTGCAACCAATGAAATCTCTTGTAGGCGGTTCTGTGGTGAAATTTGTCTTTTGTGACACTCTCAGTTGTTTCTAGGTCATGGTCACTGGTATTTGATTCATAATTTACGTGGACAAATGTGTCTAAGGCACGAGCTGTTTTGTGTGAACACTGTTTTTGAAATGGACATGTGATAGAATTGCTATTATTTGAGGTTGAAGTTTCTATTTCAGCATCTTAGCATGTTTATAAAATATCTTCTAAATAAAGTAGCCTGTCTTTGGGGATAGAGGTACGGATTATGAGTGAAAATTTGAGTTTGGTGATTGTATACACAATATTCAAAGTTGGAAAAATTACTGCTAACAGGTTGATGATTATAGAAAGAAGAAGCTGAGGACAGACGCATATAGCTCTGGGGCAATTAGAACTTGGTAAAATAGGTCCGATACACACACTCGGCTTGGGCATCCTTACCATGGCTGTCAAACTTAAGAACTACATTTCCCATAAACCAATTCGATTGCAAGTTTCTTCAATCAATCGGTTTCAAGTGGAGATTTCCCAGTTTTTTCAATCTGTTGGTTTCAAGTGGAGATTTCCCAGTTCCTCTAGAGGGCACGACGCATCAAAGGTATCGAACTTCATTTCCCAAAATGCACACCGTGAGCTTTTCACGTAATAAAGGACTAATGAAGTTCCGCGAGATTTCGGAGGCGGAACTGAAGTCGGAGCCAGTAACCCAAGGAAGCGATTGACATAAGACACGTGTGAGAATGTTTAGGGTTTTCTCCCATGTATATCTCTCGGAACCCTTATGTTCCCCAAAGCGTTAGGGATCTTTTCTGTGAATTTCCAGCTTTTCCTGCCTTAGCTGAGGATACTTCCGCTTCCTGGATTCCACTCAGTCCGGTAAGCACGGGTTTCCATCACTTAACCCTTTAGCTCCCGGAAGCAGAGGTCAGTAGGTATCTGGAATGAGGACACCTGAAACCTTAGGAAGGGCGTCCTTTGGTCCCCGTAGCTGGCGACCCAGGAGAATTGGGATTAGAACAATTAGGATAGGTGACAAAGGAAGGTTCTGCCGCCCTGGTTTTAAAGCTCTGTAGAGCGTGACCCGGCAGTGGGGTCCACGCCTTTAATCACCACACTCAAGAGGCAGAGACAGGCGGAGTCTCTGAGTTCAGGGCCAACCTGGTCTACAAGAGCGAGTTCCAGGGCAGGCTCCAAAGCTACAGAGAAACCCCGTCTCGAAAACCAAAGCCAAAACAAACAAACAAAAATTCGTAGAGCAAGGTGTTCAAGAGAGACAGAATGGCAGGAGTCGCTCTTAGCATGGGTTTTCTTTCTAAAACTCGTTAGTATGAGAGCACATTGTTTTTGTTACTGTTAAACTTGGAGAATACTTTTTCTATCTCAAATCTTCAATTACTTTATGCGTTTGTTGGGTGATACACTGCCAATTTAACTCAAAAGTTAGTTCGTTTAACACTGAAGTCACTTATGTTCTCCCTTCAGTTTTCCCCATGGTTATATCCACCCTTTATCCTTTTACAATAGACATGCAAAAAGGTCCATTTTCATACTCAAATTTACAATTAAAATGACAGCAACAAGTATATTCTCTGCAGAGGCCAAATTTTTGTTTGCCATCTAGCAGGTGACAACAGTATCCATCAACAATAAACATGATTGGAGAAGTCAGTGATAATGGTTGCACAATGATGAACGTACTAGGTGCCAGCTAATTGTACACCTAAATTAAAATAAAATGTTTATTTTATATTATGAAAAATGTAAAAAGTAAGCATTGAGTGACTTTACAAGCTAGACTATGATGGAGGTCACTAAACCTTAAAAGCTCATCTGCTCTTGTTATAGTGCTTGCCAATCTCCCCTGTAATTAACCATGCTGATTGGACTCTTCCCCAAATACATATTGCACTGTTATGTACTTTCATAAAAATCATGTTGTTCATGCTGATGCAGGTATGCCATTCTTGTAAGTTAGGGATTTCTTAGTATCTTGTCCTCAGCAGGTTGTCTTCATTTTTCAGCAGTGTTATATCTTATATTTTAAAATGAGATTATAAAATCCAAATCCTGGATTTCTTTTTCTGAGGTTTGTTGAATCTGTATATAAATCTTCAGAATGTTGGCATTTTTATGCAACCCGACTATTAATAACTGAAAACTTTGACCTTGGATGTCCAATTATATTTTCTTCAGATGTTGTACTTACTGAATTTGGCATCAACATTGTTGATAAAATATATTTCTACTACTTTAGTATACTGTTTTGGGTGTTATTCATAGATAGTTGTATCATGTGAATAAAATAAGTAAATATGTATGCTTTTGTGTTATACATACTTGCTATATTCTGATTTGTCTGGAGATTGATGAATTTGTATAAAAAAATCATAGGTGGTCCTGTTTCACTTCTGACTATAAATGAAATGAACTTCTTTGTGCTGGAATTTTTGACTTCTATGTTTATTTAGGTCAAGGAACTTGTCTTTCTGGAGGGGTTATTTTATTTTTATTTATTTATTTTGTCTATTGTTTCCCTTTTCCTCCTTTCTTTTTCTGATATATTGCTTGTAGTCTTTTACCGTCTTTCAGCTATTGATAAATTTAAGTACCTTGACTTAGCTAGTAAAATAATGGTAAGCTGAATGAATGAACAAATAACTGAGTTTTTGTTTGATTATTTTGTTGTTGTTGTTGTTGAAAGAATAGTGAAATTAAGACAAATGGCTTTCCAGTGGTACATTGAATTTGTATAGGTAACTAACTTATTTAGAAAGGACACCCTGTCTTGATCTTTGAACTTCAGTGTTTTGTGTGTATGTTTTATGGTAACTTTTCCTTTTCTATTTCAGGCTTATGCCAGTCATTCTCCTAAAATGAGGCAGAGGTTTTTCCTCCTATAAATCTGGAATATTTTGAGTAAGAATATCACCATTTATTGTGCATATTGATGCACCTTTATGATTTCAATATGGAGGAAGAAGAAGCAGGAGGATCAGCAGTTCAGGCCCAGTGCAGACTGCATGCATATCTGTAGGCCACCCTGGGCTTCCTGAGACCCTATCTGATAAGAACTGCAAATGGGCCTGGTGAGATGGCCCAGTGGGTGAAATAAATCACTTGCAGAGCAGGTCTGCCTGACAATCTGAGTACACATGTCAAACCCCATCACTCCTTAAAGGAAAATGGAAGGCTAAGACAGTAAAATGGGCTAGAAGTGCACTCACTTGTGTGTGTGTGTGTGTGTGTGTGTGTGTGTGTGTGTGTGTGTGTGTAGGGGAAGGGTTAACTATTCTAGAAAACAGAGCACTGCAGAAATAACAGACAGACCCTTACTTAACAAGGTGAAAGGAGACGACTAACTCCTTTGCTTGTCCTGTGACCTTCATGTGTGTGCCCAGACACACATACACACACTTTTTTGTCTTAAAGTTATAATCTTATTTTGTAGTCTCCCAATCTTCTGCTCCAGTGGCTTGAGTGCTGTGCTGGAGTTAAGGGGTTTTGCCATCATACCCAGATTGGGAAAACTTTATTTGATTAAAGCTGTATTTGACTTTCTGGAGGACTATGTTGCGTTCTTGTTTTATATTTTCTTATGATAAAAATTTCTTAAGGAGGTTATTATTCTCATAAAATGTTTAAGCTGTGTAATCAAACTTTGTTCACAATCACTTATGTTTTAATGTGTTCTATATATTCCTAATATTTATGTACTTAATCTTTTATTATTATTATTATTATTATTATTATTATTATTATTATAACAGGATCTCACAATGTAGTCCAGACTGGCTTCTCAAATTTATAATCTTCATGGTTCAACTTCTCTCTGTGCTGAGATTATAGAGGTGTGTGTACCACTCCTGGTTTAGATACTGTTTTTTTTGTTTGTTTGTTCGTTTGGTTGGGTTTTTTTTTAGACAAACATTAGAACTTTACTTAAGACAATCCATTTTATAGTATGTATTTTCTGTCTCATAGGTTTCTGACATTTTGTCTCTTTTTTAATGGGAGGGACAGGGTCTTTGAAGCCCAAGCTGGCCTTGAAGTTTTCAGCTAGCTGAGAATGGCTTTGAACTTTCCTGATCCTTCTACCTCAATCTCTCAGTTGCTGCAATTCCAGACCTGCTCTGGCTTCAGTATTTCTTTCTTCTTTTAAAGCTTGTAACACTATTTCATTTCCCCTGACTTAGACTAGACAACTGTTACATCCCCCAAATGGAAATGCTGTTTTGGGGTTTTGTACATTTTGTTTTGTTTCCTTTTGTTTTGAGACAATGTCTTATTCTGAAACTCTGGATGACATAGAACTCACTATATAGATCAGGTAGGCCTCATACTCAAAGATGCCTACCAGTCTTTCCCTCCCTGATTCTACAATTAAAGTTGTGCATCATCCTCTGTAAAGTATAGTCTCTTTTCACATATATATATATATATTTCTAAATATGATTATCGTATGTTATAACTCCATATTATGACTCCTTTGATATGTGGATTAATGTAATAGTTTCTTCTGAATTTTATTCCTCAACATTTTGATGGAAATATATCTCACTCTTCCTTTTGACTCATGAAACATGGCCTAAATGGCAACCAGGTATATTGATATATTGATTTACTGAGAATGCAACTCATTGTTTTGCCCTAGTCCATATCATAACAAAGAGAAAAATGGATTTGAATCATAGTAGAATTGAAGAAATGATAGCATATGGTCTTCTTCATCTTTGTGTACGTTTGCATGCATGAATAGCACTGATTGAAATATGCCCAACAAGGGCAAACTTCAGTAAAAGTGCCGTTCTCTGTTTAGTAGTTGCAATTAAATGTGAATACCCTGACACTGTTTTGTGCTTTCTTGGTAAATATTATGCCACTAAACTGTATCCCCAGATCTAAATTCTACTTTATTGGTTATTTGGGTCAACAAAATATACATGAATCTATCTTTTGTATATAGGATATGTATCATGTGTTTAAGTTTTTCATTGCTGTGAAGAGACACTATGACCACAGCAATTCTTACAAAGGAAACATTTAATTGGGTTGGCTTGCTTACAGTTTTGGAAATTCAGTCCATTTTTGTCATGGTGGAGCATGGTGGCATGCATGCAGATGTAGTACTGGAGGAATAGCTGAGATTCCTCCGTCTTGCCAGCAACAGGAAGTTGGCTCACAGACTGGGTGGTATCCTGAGTATAGGAAACATCCAAGCCTGCTCCCACAGTAACACACTTCCTTTAACAAGGCCGTACTCACTCCAACAAAGCCACACCTCCTAATATTGCTACTCCCTATTATGGGGGCCAATTGTATTGAAACCGCCAAAGAATTTATGTAATGCTTTTTATTTTCATGTTTTATTCTCATTGTATTGGGCTAAGAAGGGAAGTTTGAGTCATAGTTATAGATTTCTCTAATATTTCAGACAAGATTAGGATCCAGTCTGAGATCACCGTTCTACAAGGTTGACTGTGGCTGCAGGAGGCATTGTTCCTGGGAGAAGGAAGGGAAGCATGTGTGCAGTTGATCATGGAGGGTTGCTGTGCCAGGGTACCAGTTGGGATACTGGAAAATCCTCCACAAAGGCTACAGGTGGTAAGGCCCACAGTAGGTTCTGATAACAAATGGGATGCTGCAGTCTTAGTGGAACTGGTGGTCATGAGCATCCTCATGGAATTCTTGTCCTTTGGTCTGTTTCCTAGGTACTATTCTGTGTTTCTTCACAGAGACCAGAAAGGCTTGCTGCCTGATTTCTCCTTGGCTTTGCATCTCTGCTAATCTTTCAAACTTGCCTGCTGTGGAAACAGTCTTTTACATTTCTCCTTCTAAACTCTCTCAAACACCCCTCCCCACTCCTTCACATTCGTGGCTTATTTTCTCATTAATTATTAGTGCTTAGCTATATGAATGTACATAGTCTTCCTGAATATAGCCTGCTCAGTCCGTATGTTCCTGGTATGTGTGTTTCCAGGGATGACCGTTTGGCACTAGACAACCAGCTGCTTTTCTCTTCCCTAGGGAGGACCACCCCCGTGTTCCTGCTTTCCTCAACTGCCTGTGCATTGGTGTCATTCTTCGGCTCACATCTGAGCAGTCGTGATTGTGAGACTTGATGTGTGTAGATTTTTTTTTAAATATTTATTTATTTATTATGTATACAATATTCTGTCTGTGTGCATGTCTTCAGGCCAGAAGAGGGCACCAGACCTCATTACAGATGGTTGTGAGCCACCATGTGGTTGCTGGGAATTGAACTCAGAACCCCTGGAAGAGCAGGCAATGCTCTTAACCATTGAGCCATCTCTCCAGCCCCATGTGTAGATTTTTATATGCATAGGAAATAATCTCCTAGCAAGCTCTCTGATCTTCTGGCCATTTCAATTTTTCTGCACAATCTTCCTAAATGTTATCTGAGCCTTAGGTGCAGGAGTCTTTTGTAGATATATTTATTGGGTCTGGCCTCTGTAACTCTGTGTCTTATTGGTTGTGGTTTTCTATGGTAGTCTTTGTTGCAAAGAGAAGTTCTCTTAATGACAGGGAGGACTAGACTTACCTGTAAGTATAAGAATAAATGTTTAGAAGCCAGTTAGGGATTATGCTTTTCTTTTTAGTGAAGTGGTGGTTATAGGTTCTCCTCCAGCATCCATGACTTCACTAGCACTGAGAAGCTAGTTAGGTTTCCAGTACCAGTAATGGTTTCCCTCTAGTGGAGCAAGTCTTACGTTCATTTAGAAAGCTATTGGTTACTGTCAAGTATGCAACTATTGCTCTTTTAGGGTGTATTGCATTGTAGGGTCTTGTGGAATATGCGTCATAGCTGAGTAGGACTGTAGGTTGCTTCTCTCCCACCACAATTCTGTACAGTGAAAGCTATCCTGAGGAAGGAACTCAGGTCAGGTACAATTCAAGGGCCTCTGGACCCTTTGTCTCAAGTGTTTGGGACCTTCAGCAATGGGCTCTTATATTTGGGGAATGTCTTGGACAGCCTTGGTCAACAACACAAAAAGGATTCCCCTTGTCTAGTATGAGGGTTTTGGTTAGTGTAAGTAGGTGCAACATGAAACCATTTATCAAAATACAGAACAAAACTTGCTGGACTGCCCCAGACAGTGGAGGACAGCACCTAGCTGCCAAAGCTTGTTAGGTTTTTTAGAGTAGATGGCAACGAGAGGGGAGAGGTGTTCTTGAAACCTGGCACTGCCAGGTGTTTGGTATGGGGACTGTGTCAGACAGTGGTTGTACTGAGAGTTGTAGTCAGGAGCATTCAGTCAACCTTTAAGAGCCTCTGAGAAATTCTTTAGGTTTCTTCTTCCTGGCAAAATGTCCTCAGGTTGTAACTGAATCATCGTTATTAACACTACCATTGGGGGACCTGCTTTGTGACCTTAGGTGGTTTTTGGCTCTTGGAAGGAGCACATTCAGACCAGATGAGAAAAGTTCATTAAAAATGTCTGCATTTATTTATACACATATTATGTATGTGGACTATTGTTTTTTTAAGGTAAACAGTTAATAGTATGATTTCTTGTGGCTTTTTCAGACATTGTTATTGTTATTTACCCCACTTTCTTCATCTTCTTTATTTACCTCCCTCCCTGCTCCCTAAAAGCCCTCCTTTCTCATTCTGCCTGTCAAGTAGATTGCTTGCATTCTGCTATTCCCTTTTGCCCTCTGCCTACCATCTTCTGTATTTACCCTTTGCTCTTTCCCTAATTAGATCATTTGCCCACTGCTATTTACCTCTCCAATGCTCCCCAACCTCCCTTTTGTGGCAATAGCTTAGTTTTACTTTCCAGGTTCCTATAGTTACTATAGTCACATTAGTCACATTTGAAGATTTGGAGCTAGGAACGTCCAATGAGAAAGAACATGTGGTTTGTCTTTCTCGGTTCGGGTTTCCTTAATTCAATATAATATTTTCTAGTTCCATCTATTTACTTGTTCATGATTTCAATTTTTTTTTTTTTTTTGCTAAATAGTATTCTGTAGTAGATATGTACCAGTTATACACTTATCAGTTGTGGGACATCTAGGCCTTTTCCATATCCAAGCTATTGTGAATAAAGCAACATTGAACATGTCTAAACAGATATCTGTGGAGTTGGATGTCCACATTTCAGCATATGTCAAGGAGTGGGAAGACTGATCATATGATGAATTCATTTTTAGCTTTTTGAGCTTCTCATTAATTTCAGTAGTGACCACACTAGTTTGCAGTCCCACCAGCAGTGGATGATGGTCCTAGTTTCCTCACACTCCAACAAGAGGCATCTCTACATGTGGATATCCAGTTTTATAGCACTTTCTTCAACATATGCTTTTGGAGTGCTTGTCAAATATTAGTGGCTAAAGCTATGTATGCACATGTTTGTGTCTTTGATATTGTTCTATTCGTTTACACACCTGATTTGGTGCTATTACTATGACTCTGTTATACATAAGATTTGAAATTACAATCCTAACATTGTTCCTTTTAGTCATCATTGTTTTGGCTATCCTTTCATGGTTCCATATGAGTTTTACAATATTTCTTAATTCTTTGAAGAATATTGGAAGGCTTTTGATTGGTATTGTATTAATAGCTTTTGATATAATGAACAGTTTCATAATGTTAACTCTACTAGTCTATAAGCATAGGGTGTCTTTCCATTTTCTAGTGTCTTTCTGTCTCTTTCTTTAGAGGTGTAAAGGCTAGGTTTTTTATTAGATTCTTTATTTTCTTTGAGACTACTGTGAATGGGAGTGTATCCACGGTGTCCTCCTCTGTATGTTTTCTGTTGGTATATAGAAAGGTATTGATTTTTTCCAGTTGATTCTTTGTCCTGCCACATTGCTGAATTTGTTTATCTTTTCTAGGAGTTTTCTGGTATCATTTTGGGAATCTCTAATCTATAGTATCATATCATCCACAAATAAGGGTAGTGTGACTTCTTCCTTCACTATTTATATCACTTATATTTCTTTTTCTTGCCTATTCCTTGAGTATTTTGAGTACATTATTGAAAAGGAGTGTGGGTAGTGGATATCCCTGTCTGGTTCCTGACTTCACTAGAATTGCCTCTAGCTTTTCTCCACTTAAGATGATGTTGCACACTTAAGATGATGGTTGTCATGAATAATTTTTATTTGTGGTAATTCCTGGGGACTACATTCTCTGGGACTTTTATCATGGAAATTTTTTTAACATGCCTGTTCTCTATTTACTGAGATGATCATGTGATTTTTGTCTTTAAGTCCATTTATGTGGTTTATTACATTTCTTTGCTTATAAGCCATTACATAAATATGAAAGAAAAATGCAGGTTTACCCAGGAGAGATTGATTGGAGGGAGAGGGGAAATAACGTAATAACTTCAAAAACCTAATTTTAAATTCTAATTTTCAATTAAAATTATACATATCATCAGGGTAACATGATATATATATCCTATATATATAATATATATTATATATATATCATATATATGTGGGAATTAATGCTTAAGTTGAACTAAATATTTTTTCAAGCATTTGTAGTCATTGTAAAAATATCAAAACACTTTCTTCTAGGTTTTGAAATGTGTAATTTTTTATTGCTATCTGTAGTTATCCTTCTGTGCAATAACTTTTAATACTTTAAGTGTTGAGATAAAATAAGTGACTAGAAGTCTAACTCAGTAGGTAAGAACACTTGGTATTACAGAGGACTTTCATTTGGTCCCCAGCACCCTTGTGGCAACTTAGAACAGTTCCTCCAGTTCTAGCAGTATGATACTGTTTTTTTATCTCAACAAGCATCAGGAACAAATGACACATGCGTGCATGCAAGCAAAACACTCACTCATACACATGAAAATCAATTAGTTGCCAGGTGGTGGTGGTGCTCGCCTTTAATCCCAGCAATTTAAAGGCAGCAGAAGGCTGGCCTTGTGAGTTCAAGGCCAGCCTGGTCTACAAGCGCTAGTTTCAGAACAGGCACCAAACTACACAGAGAAACCCTGTCTCAAAAAAACAAAAAACCAAAACAACAAAAAGTGAGCCTTTTTTTTAAAGATGAAATAAAAGAAAACTTAGCCGTTATTCAGTTCAGTGGTGGTCCATACATTCACAATAGACTACATTTCCCCATGTAACTTTTGAAGTTTTCTGTAATTTTAAACTGAAACTGGGAATCCCTTAAAGAGTAACTCCTTACTTGCCTTTTCCACAGATCCTGGCAAAAGCATTCTGCTTTTTGACTTCATGAATCAATCTGACTTCATGAGGCTCATGTAAGTGAAATTGCACATCTGTCCTTCTTTGCCTTGCTAATGTCTCTTAATATAAATTTTTGTGTATGTGTCATAGAATGTATCAGAACTTTCTTTTTAAAGCTGGTTGATATTTTACACATTTCCTTATTCACATCTGTTGCGTACTCTTGTAAGATGTTTGCTTCTCCTGTTTTCCTCTCTATCCCTGCCCTTTCTCTCTCTCTCTCTTTCTCTCTTTCCTGTCTCTACTTCCTCAGTATCAAGGAGTACAAATACCTAAGCTCTTCAAGGCTGTTGAAGACAATCTTTATGTATTTCTGGCTTTTTTTTTTAAATAAAAAGATCAGGTGCGTGGACTTGTCTCGGTATTAAATGTGATCCCATTTATCAGTATGTCTGTTTTTATGACAAACCATGCTGTATTATTACTATAGTTTTGTAGTACAATTTGAGAATTGAAAATGATGGTACCTCTAATAGTTACTTTATTATTTAGAATATTTTATATTCAGAATTGTGTGTATGTGTGTGTGTATAGTTATAAAAGATATTGTTTACCTGATTTCTCTCACAGTCCATTTGTATTTGCTCATAGGAAGAGTTCTGATTTTCATGTAATAATTTTGTATTCTGTAACTTTACTGAAAATGTTTCCTGATGGAATTTTTAGGGTCACATATATAATACTATCAACTGTGGTTAAAAGTCCTTTAACTCCTTCTTTTCCTGTTTGTATTCCCTTGTTCTCCTTTATTTATATTATTTTCTAAGACTTCAAGTTCTATATTGAATAGGTATGGAGAGAGTGGGCATTCTTGTCTTGTTCCTGATGTTAGTGGAAATGCTTTGAGTTTCTCTATTTAGGTTGATGTTGGCCCACTATTAGACAGCTTATGGGTCAAGAAGAAATGCCAAGAAAAAAATTCAGAGTTCTCCTCACTAAGTAAGAGAGACAGCCTTTGAAGTCGCCCTGGGGCCAGCTGTCAGCTTTGAGAAGCAGTGCCTCCTCACATATGCCTGCACTCAGCTACGGCAGCCCGTGCCCCTTAAACGATGGCTGCACTTGGTCTGTCTCCCACATTTGGTAAGTTCAGCAAATGGGCATGTCTCTTTGCATGCCTCAGATAGAGGAGCTATGGATACGTAAGCTGTTGATGGTGATGGGTGAGCTGAATGGTGCTAGTGTGTATATATATATATTATATATAGGCATGTATGGGTTTGGGGCAAAGACGAGCATGTGTATAGTTCACATATATAATAAAGAAGAGAGAGGTGAAAATTGACCTCGTGATCGATTGTTTTGATAAATTTGAGAAAAGCAGTAACTTTACCTCTTAGGACTTCCTCACTCAGAAAATGGGACTATGTAGAGGTTGAATATCCCTAATCTGAAAATCCCAAATCTGCAACTTTGTGAGGATAGCTAAGATGCCACTTGTGAAAAATTCTATACCTTATCTCAAGTGACAGGTTGCAGTCAAACTAGCTGTGTTGGAAAAGTATCTAAAATGATCTTCAGCTATGTGTGTAACTATGAAGCATAAGTGAATCTTTTGTTTAAATATCTCATCCAAAGATACATAATTATATTTATGGAAAGATGCCAAAACTTTTTTTTTTTAAAGTACCTGAAGTAAAATATGGGCCTAAGCAACTAACTCATGTTCAGGATGCATTGCTGCTTGTGGTTGTGTATCACCGACATCCTCTTCTCTGTCTTTGTTTGTGAATAAGCAGGGGAGTGTATGGGGGTGGGATGGGGTGTGTGTGTGTGTGTGTGTGTGTGTGTGTGTGTGTGTGTGTGTGTGTGATTTGAGTATGCTTACTAGAAGGCAGATGAATTTAAAGGATTTTATTTTCTTGCCTTAGTTATATCCTCTCAGGGCTCTGCAGGTAGCCAAGAATCAGAACTTCCTTCAGAATACCATTCTTGTCAGCAGAATTCGGGTTTGTTTGCTTGCTGTGCTCCAGAGCCTAATACACCAACTCGTGTTTCTTCTCAGGTACATAAGACCTCAAGGCCCAAGGGTAGGACAAGTACAATTTAGGACACCCTACCATCACCGTTGCATGGATTTCTTTTAGATTCTTATCCAGGTCAGTGAATGCCTGATCAAGGAAAGTCAGATGGTTGTAATCATTAGGGAAGTGAAAAGGAGTGGATCATGTAGCAGGTGTTCCTCTCATGTTTGCACAGTGCTCGGAATCAATTGTAAGACAGAAAGTAAGTAAAGCTACAAGCTGTCAGCCACCCTAAAGGTGGAAAGCAATTTTCTTCTTATCAGTTGTACTTGAAGCAGTGAAACAGATCTGGTCTCAGAGGGAACAGACACTGTCACATACAGAAACCTTTAGCAGACTCTATCTTGATTTCACACATCAAATCTTCCATGCCCATGTTCTGCCTCTGTTGTTTTCCTGGGAGCTGGTTTCTCACTGACTTCGAATGTATCTTATATTCTAGGAGTGTGTGACATTTCAAGATATTGCTGTGGATTTTACTGAGAAAGAGTGGCCCCTGTTGGATTCTTCCCAGAGAAAACTATACAAAGATGTAATGCTGGAGAATTATAGCAACCTGACTTCCCTGGGTAAGGCTACCATGTTCACACACCTGTTTAGGGATAAGATGTTTTACCTAGTACTTGCCTTGACCCAAGACATAGGTGGGGTTTGTAGCAAAGTTAAGAACAAGCAGAACTGGTACCCAACCTTGTAGGTTTCTCCTGGAGGTTTTCAAGTATGTGACTGAGTTTAACCATAAATTTCTAAGGTTAGTGGTCCCATTCTTGTTGATGGAGAAGGGTCTATGAGCAAGGGAATTTACTGTATTGTGTTGTGATCTGAGTTCAAGTTCATAACAGCCATACACAAAGTTGGGTGTCATTGCGGATAACATGTAAAAATTCCACAGATATGGGAAGTGAAGACAAGATAATTGTTAGAGATTATTGGACCACAGCCTAGCTCCAAGTTCAGTAAGAGACCCTTTCTCCAGGGAATGAAGTAGGATGATATATTGGGATGCCCAATGTCCTCATATGGCCTCTGAACATGGACAAGCACACATAAAGAAAAAATAATATATTAAAATTAGCAAAATTTAAAATTGTAAAAATTTATTTTAAAAATTTTTCATTCTTGTTTGGGGTTGTAGTTCAGTGGTAGAGTGATTTTCTAGATAATGGCCCATTCCTAACACTTAAAACAACAACAAAAAAAGAAAACCACATTCTTTTGGATGGCAAATGTATAAGTATGAATGGATTTGGCTTTTATGGAAGATTTTTTTCTGTGTTCCTTAAAAAATGTGACATCATCATTTTGCAGCTCCTAAGTCTGCCATGTCCACCTTCAGAAAACTCTGAAGACCAAATTATTTCCCCTGGTGTGATGGGAGGGTTGTCCTCTGCACAGTCCCCCTTCCATATGTGTCTTTCCTGGCGAGTAGGGTATCAAGTTGGCAAACCCAGCCTCATCTCACACCTGGAGCAAGAAGAGGAGCTGAGGATGGAGGAGAGAAACATTAAATGGGGTGCTTCTCTAGGTGAGTAAACACAAGACACACAGATGTGATTTGGCTATCAGCTCTTCAGTGATTGGAATGGAGGGAATATATTGTTGCTTTCCTGTTTCTGTTAGAAAATCACCTGGAACATTATTTAATTCACTTATGTATCAATTCAGGAACATGGTGCCATCATCCTGGTACCAACTGTATTGTTTAAAACATGACAGATTGTTTTTGTAACTTAAGGGAAAAAGTTTATTTGGTCATAGTTTTAAGGTTTAGTCCATCATGGCAAGAATCACCTGGCAACAGTAACTGATCCCTTAGTATTTGACTTCTGGAAGTAGAGAGAGATAAATGATGTACTCAGCTCATTTTGTCCTTTTAATTCAATCTGTGCCTTGGCCTCCACCTAGCCTGTGGCATGCTGCTGCCCACATTTAGAGTGTGTCCTCAGTTGAAATTTACTTAGAGTCACTCTCATAGATACACCCAGGGTATGTTTCCATGGTCAGACTAAACCCAGGCAAGTTAATAATGAAGATTATCCTTGAGAGCGTGGTAGTATAACTGTAGTCAAAACAAATATCCCATTGTGAAATAGGAAGCAAGAGCTAGGAGAGGCCAGTGTTGGTGTTATTTAACTGTTTTTCTAGACAGGGTCTCACTGTAGACCAAACTGGCCTTGAACTCATGATTCTCCTGCCCCAGCCTCCTGAATGCTGGTGTCACATGCATATGTTACCATATCTACCTTTATGAGACAGCCTTCTGTTACAGGACATCACTAACTTTCTAAGACCAACTTGGTTCCATCTAAGAACAGTGTAATCGGTGGCCTATTACTTCACAATAGGCCCCACCCCTTTAAAGGTTCTGCAACTTCAATGTCACTGTCCTGAGGCCAACTCTAATACATGGACCCTTGAACAAATATGCTCAAAACATTAACATGGTTCGAGACCAGCCTGGTCTACAAGAGCTAGTTCCAGGACAGGCTCCAAAGCCACAGAGAAACCCTGTCTCAAAAAAAAAAAAAAAAAAAAAAAAAAAACATTAACATGGAAGCACATTTAATAATGCTAATTAGGACATAAGGAAGTGTTCTTTGTCTTACTATCTATCTGTTTCTTTTGACCTGTAGTTTCATCTCTGTGTTCCTTTGAATCTGGCATTATCATTTTATTCATTTTTATGTTCTTCCCTTGCGCCTTGTCTTTCCTGGTATATTGTTAGAATTTACAAAGAAGTCTACATTTCATTCCTATCATCTCACCTTTTTTGAATGAGCCAGGTTATCCAGTTTTGTTTTCTTTCAGATTCAGGAACTCCATCTCAGATAAAGTGGTCCATTGTTGTGGAAGATATTTTTGGTGAGGAAACATCTAATGGAGTGATATTGGTAAGATTTCCTTAGGATATGTCTTTGTCTTTCTTGAGAAGCCCAAGGCAGCCACTAGTCAGCTCACTGAAGAATCAGTCAAGTGACCTACTCTAAAGGAAACAGGAGTTCCACAGTGCCAAGCCACAGTTGTAACTTAGTACTGAGTTCCATTGAGCTGGTTCCACTGAAGTCTCTGTGAATACCAAGTTCTAAGAGTGCTTAGTTTCTTTGTATAAAATGTCACTTAGCATAGACTGCATACAACCTGTACATATCTTAGTATATGTTCTACATTATTGTTAGATTACCTATATCACCTAATACAGTGTGGTATGTAAAATCTGTAAATAACTTTATTACTATATTGTCTAGATAATGACGGAAGTTTATGTGTGTTCAATATTAATATAGTTATATTTGTCTTTAAGTAGTCTGAGTCTGAGGTTGCCAAAATCTTGATATTGAACTCATTGACACTTAAATTGAGACACACTGAATTGTCCATTTCAGCAGGATCCCAAATCTAGCCCCAGACTTTCTCATTTAGAGTTCAGATGTAACACCCGGTTTTGGTGTTACACCCTCGGTACAGTTCACGCGCAGCTGTACCGAATGCGAGTCTGGGCAAGGGCCTGGAGATTGAACACAAGACACAGAGACCAGGGTCATTCGATAGGAGATCAAGCGAATGCCGTTTATTCAGACTTGGGGAAGCCCTTTTCTACCTAACTGCAGCACAAAGATCTCACCACCCAGGGAGGTGGGAAATAAACACACAGGAAACTTAGTTAACAATGGAGAAGATTGCCTGTAGCTAAATCACCAGGTGGGGCAGGGATAGCACGGAAACACACAGGAAGCTTAGTTAACAAATAACAAACTGTCCCCGCCAATGCACCCCAGGAATAAGGGAGACCAGGGCCCTACATTCAGATAAATAAATATTTCTATAACATGTGATGGAGATTAATTTGGTTTTAAGTACTGAACAAAGTTTGCTTGCAAAAAAAAAAAAAAACTTTATAGGGTACTACACATGAAGCTTTATGCTACAGTAGCCACATTTCCTGCTTTTTTTTAGGATTTTTTTCTTTATTTTTAATTAAAATTTTCCACCTCCTCCCCGCCTCCCATTTCTCTCCCCCTCCCCCCTCCCCCCTCCTCCTTCCTCTCCAGTCCAAAGAGCAGTCAGTGTTCCCTGCCCTGTGGGAAGTCCAAGGTCCTCCCCCCTCCATCCAGGTCTAGGAAGGTGAGCATCCAAACTGACTAGGCTCCCACAAAGCCAGTACAGTAGGATCAAAACTCAGTGCCATTGTCTTGGCTTCTCAGTCAGCCCTCATTGTCCAGCACGTTCATAGAGTCTGGTTTGATCACATGCTCCATCAGTCCCAGTCCACCTGGCTTTGGTGAGCTTCCATTAGATCAGCCCCACTGTCTCAGTGGGTGGGCGCACCCCTCTCGGTCCTGACTTCCTTGCTCACGTCTTGAGTGAGGTAACCCTGCTTTTATTTTTTTAACTAAGACAAGATCTTGTTGTTTAACCCAGGCTAGTTGGGTACACAAAGGTCTTGTGCTTTAGCCTTCCGAATTGGGTTACAATAGAGTGCCACCACCACTTCAAGCCTCCTTTTATCTTTGATAAAGCTCAGATGAAAGAGAAGCAATGACATCTTTGGCCATTCAATTTGTTTGGGAACTATTGCTGTGATAAAACACTGTGACTAAAGGCATTTGTGAAGGAAAGGGCTATTTAGCTTACACTTCCACATTCATAGTCTGTCACTGAAGACAGAAGAGGAACTCAAAACAGGGAGACAGAAACTGGTGGCAGAGGTTATGGAGTGGCGCTGCTTACTGGCTTACTCTCCAAGGCTTGCCTAGCCCGCTTTTTTAAAGAACCGAAGACCATCAACCCAGGGATGGCACCACTAAAGTGGGCAGGCTCTTCTCCATTGATCACTAACTAAGAAAATACCCTACAGTCTTGCCTATAACCCCATCTTATGGAAACAGTTTCTTAACTGAGGTTCCTTCCTCTCAGATGACTTTATAGAACTATTCAACACTGTCATAGTAATATGTTTCTGTTGGTGCTAATTTATTCAGAGATAATGTTTAAAGAGGCTGGGCCTATAGACTTATGTTAAAGCCCATACTCTGCATTTACTAGGCCTTTGGTTTAACCATCAGCACCAAAAACATAAAATGAAATAAGGGGTGTTATAAATGCCAAAGTCAGCTCTCATTTCTTAACCAACAGGAAAAATCTCATCTTTTGGAGAAATCATCTGATTTCGCCCATTTACTTGATGTCTTCAGTATTGGCCCTCACTTAAGTCAGCCAGTTGGAAGACCTGTAAACAAGAGGCCCTGTCACCGCCACAGCTGTGGAGTTGCTTTCAAGAAGAGGACTCACCTGCCGCAGCACATGAACTTGTATGATGGGAGAAAAGTGCATGAATGTCACCAGTGCCAGAAAGCCTTCACCACCAGCGCTTCTCTTACAAGGCATCATAGGATTCACACTGGGGAGAAGCCTTATGAGTGCAGCAACTGTGGCAAAGCCTTCAATGACTCCTCAGCTCTAAGGAGCCACGCAAGAACTCACCTGAAAGAGAAGCCCTTTGACTGCAGTCAGTGTGGTAACGCCTTCCGGACTCCCTCTGCTCTGAAGGTACACATGAGAGTTCACACTGGTGAAAGACCCTACAAATGCGATGAGTGCAGCAAAGCCTACGGCAGGAGCTGCCACCTCATAGCCCACAAGCGGACACACACTGGGGAGAGGCCCTATCAGTGCCAGGACTGCGGAAAGGCCTTCCAGCACCCCTCCCACCTGAAGGAACATGTCCGGAACCATACTGGGGAAAAGCCTTATGAGTGTACACAGTGCGGCAAAGCCTTCCGTTGGAAGTCCAACTTCAATTTGCATAAGAAGAACCACATGGTCGAGAAAAGCTATGAGTGCAAAGAATGTGGAAAGTCCTTCAGTGACCTCCTATCAAGGAGGAAACACATGAGACTTCATATTGTAAAGAAACCAGTTGAGTGTTGCCAGTGTGGGAAAACCTTCCGAAACCAGTCTATCTTGAAGACACACATGAACTCTCACACTGGAGAGAAACCTTATGGCTGTGATTTCTGTGGAAAAGCCTTCAGTGCAAGCTCCAACCTCACTGCACACAGAAAGATACACACTCAGGAGAGACACTATGAATGCCCTTCCTGTGGGAAGGTCTTTGGTGATTACCTGTCACGGAGGAGGCATATGAGCATTCATCTTGTCAAGAAGCATGTGGAATGTTGTCAGTGTGGAAAAGCTTTCAGAAACCAATCCACCCTGAAGACTCACATGAGAAGCCACACAGGCGAGAAGCCATATGAATGTGACCATTGTGGGAAAGCCTTCAGCATAGGTTCCAACCTTAATGTACACCGAAGGATTCATACCGGGGAAAAGCCCTATGAATGCCTTGTTTGTGGAAAAACCTTCAGCGACCATTCATCCCTTAGGAGTCATATGAAAACCCACCGGGGAGAGAAGCTCTTTGCCCCATCCATGTGGAAAAGGCTTCAGTGAGTACTCAGATGTAAAGGAAACTTGACAGGTTTAAGAAGTCACAAATCTTTCATGAACTCTCCACATAAAAAACGCAAAAGGTCACATGGAACTTGGGATAAATCCAGTTTGTGGGAAAATTGAAAAGACTTGACTTGGTATTCAGCACTTGTGATCTCTGTGAGAAAACAGGGAATTGGGAAAATTTTTGTATTGAGTATCAAGAAATTTTCAGCATAGTTCATAATCTGAAACTTATGAGAATTTAGGAGAGACTATTCAACTTGAGTGTTTAGTGATAAAAATCAGCAAAAGTTTATGGGCACTCCAAAGTGAATCTTTATCGCTACAGTGACTAGGGAACTCTTTCCTCATCTCGCGTTTGTCCCATGGGTAAGAAATCAGAGTAAAGAGAACAATCTCAGGAGTAACACACAGGAAAAACTGGATAAAGAGGTGAGCAAGCTAGCCAGCCTGTTTATTGTTGGCTCACAAGCAAAATGCTTGTTCTTTTAAAAGGCAAAAGGCATCTGGAAAATATCCTCCATGGCACTGACATACACGCTTTTGTAAAAATCTTTTTCAGACAGTATTGATTCTCAACCTGGGGCAGTTTTGCTCTTCAGAGCATTTGTCAATATCTGGATAGATTTTTGGTTTGATAATGGGGAGAGAGGTATGACAGGCATATAGAAAGATGACATCAGTATACAACGATATCATTGTATCAAGTAGCCGACAAATACACAAAAGTCATCCATGTCAAAGAATTATGTGTAGTACTATACTATAATCGTGCTGAATTTGAAGCTATCATTCATTCCTCAACTATTATGACCTCTGTGAATACTCAGATTTGGAGAAATTTTTGCAGCTTTTTAACAGAAAAAAAAAATACAATTCAGTTATTTCTGGAAATGTGTGAAAACATACACTTCTGCTAACTCTCTGTGAAAATGTTAATAGCCATAGTCTCCTTGTGTCTGAATGTAGAATTAATTGTATTTACAAGTCTTTCATAATGACAACATAATGATCTTTTTATTTTTAGAGTTACAATCTTCTGAATAACTCTTAGGCCTCTTTACAAATGGTATGTAGATACTATTTTCTTTGGAAAACTTAACCTGATTTAGAACTCTGTTATGTTATGTACTGGGTAATGTGAGTATTTTTGGTACCTGTGTCAAATGCATTGTGATTAAAGCGCGAAGCTTCCTAATGTAGGTCCTTTGGTTGCTTGTGACTTTCTGTCAGAAAGAGTAACAGAATTCTAGTTGCTTCCCCAGTATGCATTTTAAACTCCCATAACAGAAGAATCACAGTTTTATTTGATGAGTAAATGGTGCTACTATAAGAAATCATTTGCAGTTTTTCTTGCAACTAGGACTTTCTACATTCTTTTTTGTTTGGTTTGGTTTGGTTTTTTGTTTTTGTTTTTGTTTTCAAGACAGGGTTTCTCTGTAGCTTTGGAGACTGTCCTGGAACTCACTCTTGTAGACTAGGCTGGTTTCAAACTCACAGAGATCTGTCTGCCTCCCAAGTGCTGGGGTTAAAGGCATGCGCCACCACCCAGAAGTATTCTCTACATTCTATGACCCTGAACATTGATAAACAGAGGTCTTTGGCTTTCTGAGAAAAAGATCTTGGAGAAAAAAAAAGTCTGATTTTTTTTTTTTAATTCATTGTGTGACCCAGAAGATAAAAACTACAGTCTAAAGAGGACACTCTAGAAAAGTCACAGTAATCCCAATCTGTACTGTGACTTCTGAAAGACTTTACAGTGGTGCTCAATTTATTGTACCTAGACTTTCTATTACCTGAGAAAACAATAAAATTCATTACAAGTTTACAAGGGATGGATATTTGTTTCTCTGTTGGCTTTCCTGGTTGGAAGTAAGTTTTCTACCCTCTTGGTTGCTGGCCAGAAACCATACCACATTATCTGGAAAGTTAATCCCTGCTACCTTTATGTAAGGTTTGAGTGAGTACTCTTCGAATTTTTAGACACAGACTTTTAAGTACTTTAAGTCAAGTATTCATGTGGTATTATTGATGTGCTATGCTTTTGATAGCACATCACTTCAGGGTACTGTAGTAGTGCATCCCAATAAACCTATTATACAATCAAAAATTAAGTCATTCCATCATTAGATCCAGATCCCTGCAACAATGGAGTGAAGCCCTCGTATTTCCGTTGTAAATTTATAAACTTGAAAATCTTAAATGGATCTCGCAGATACCGGTTTTCATAAAACCCCAAAGAAGAAAATGTCAACATTTCCATTTCACACGTTGGCATCTGAGACAAGAAGTTTGGGTTCCTAAAACCCACTTATTAGCAAGTATTTCTTAGGATTTAAACCCTGATGCCTGCCTCTTTTATGATTGTTGAAGGAGCAGCAGGGCTGCGTTCCAGGAGCCCTGGCTCCCTCATGGCTAGCTTTACCCGAAATAATTACACGGAAACTGTATTCTTTTAAACACTGCCTGGCCCATAAGTTCCAGTTTCTTATTGGCTAGCTCTTACATAGCGATCTAACCCATTTCTAATAATCTGTGTAGCCCACGAGGTGGCTTACCAGAGAAGATCTTTTTTTTTTTTGAAGATGCATTTTTTTTAATTTTTTTTATTTTTATTATTGAGAAAAGGAAAAAAAGTTTCCACCTCCTCGCAGCCTCCCATTTCCCTCCCCCTCCTCCCACTCTTCTCCCCCTCCCCCCACTCCCCTCCCCCTCCCTCTCCTGTCCAAAGAGCAGTCAGGGTTCCCTGCCCTGTAGAAAGTCCAAGGTCCTCCCCCCTTTGTCCATGTCTAGGAAGGTGAACATCCAAACTGGCTAGGCTCCCACCAAGCCAGAACATGAAGTAGGATCAAAACCCTGTGCCATTGTCCTTGGCTTCTCATCAGCCCTCATTGTTTGCCATGATCAGAGAGTCTGGTTTTATCCCATGCTTTTTCAGTCACAGTCCAGCTGGCCTTGGTGAGCTCCCAATAGATCAGCCCCACTGTCTCAGTGGGTGGGTGCACCCCTCGTGGTCCTGACATCCTTGCTCGTGTTCTCCCTCCATCTGCTCCTCATTGGGACCTTGGGAGCTCAGTCCAGTGCTCCAGTGTGGGTCTCTGTCTCTATCTCCATCCATCACAGATGAAGGTTCTATGGTGATATGCAAGATATTCGTCAGTATTGCTATAGGATAGGGTCATTTCAGGTTCCCTATCCTCAGCTTCCCAAGGGACTAACTGGGGAGAAGATCTTAACCTGCGTCTGTCTGGAGTGGGAGAATCATGGCGACTCCCTGACTTAGCTTTCTTTCTCCCAGCATTCCGTTCTGTTTACTCCACCTACCTAAGGGTTGACCTATCAAGGGGCCTAGGCAGTTTCTTTATTAGTTAACCAATGAAAGCAACAGATAAGATACAAGACCCACCTCCATATGATAGCATTATTCTTTAATACCTAAGACTGAAAGATAGTTTTCAAAATTCTTACTGTGGTGAGGTGTTCCTTGTTAGGGCACCTGATGCATTTGTTGCTGTGTATTGGGTAATAGCAGCTAAAAAGAAAATGTTACATATGGTGCTGGAAGGCAATAGGGAGCTTATATAGCACTCGGGATTAGAAAAAAATATAAGAAAATGCTTGAGCAGAGGTGTGGTAACTGTGTGCCTTATAATCCTTGGCAGTTCAAAACTATTGAGTACTATTCTTGGCCTAGTAACTCAACAGCCAAGGCCTAGTATGAACAGAAAAAGCTCGTGGTTGAAGATGGGTGTTCGAGTACACCAGGAACCAGGTCTAAAAGATTGCCTGGTAGTCTCAGTGAAGTAGGAAGTCAATGGAGGGTTTAGTTTTGTTTAATTATTTTGAGACAGGGCCTCACTGTCTTGTCCAGACTGATCCTGAAGTACTGATCGAGTGGCATTTCCTCCATCAGCCTCTCTGATGGCTGAGGCCAAAGTCCATTGGGGAGTTAGGAGGCTTGATAACTTTCCATTTCTCTATTCTCAAAGGATCACACTGACTTCTAGGTTGATAAAGTGGAAACGAGCAGGGCCCCACCAGAAGCTAGTTATAAGGACTTTCAGAATTAATGGGAGATACAGGGAAGTGAGATTAGTTATAGGTGTGATGGGAGTGAGTAAGTCACATTGTTCAGTGATCTGTGGTTTCAATTTCCTCTTGACACAGTGATCCTCTACTATTTGACAGGGAATGAAATTGTTGAGTCCTCGCATTAAAATACCAGTCATTTTTTTTAAAAAAAATATGAGATATATTTTATGTGTATGAATGTTTTCCTACATGGATTTACATGTACCAGATGCATGTCTGGTGCCTGCAAGGCCAGAAGAGAGTGTCTCTTTCCCTGAAACTGAAATTACAGAGGATTGTGAGCAGTTATGTGAGTTCTAGGTACCAAACTCAGATCATCTGCAAGAGCAACACGTTTTAACAGTTGAGCCATCTCAACAGTTCTGCCAAGTCATTTCTGTAGTGATGGTTAAAAATACACTATGTATATTTTAAAACAAGTTTTATAAATATGCACAGGAAATCACTCAGTTCCAGAGTCTGAAACTGAGTTAATCATTACATGAACAACCCGTGTAATCACCAGAACAAGAACCTTTTTTGCTACCTCCAATTAGAAGTGCTCAGATTTCCTTGGTTTTCTTTAATGTTTGTACATACATGGTGTTTTGTCTCCCATTACTTATATTTACTTTGTATGAAAATTAAACCTATATCTTAATTATATAGCATTCACTGTGTTCTTTTATGTTTTAGTTTATACATGACTTCTTTAAGGTTTTAAATAAATATTACTCAGTTGAGATAACTTGTTTGGCAACATTCTCCACACGCAGATTTTATTGTGTAGCTATGTTGACTAGTACTGCTGGTAGCAGAGACAGTATGCAGCCTTGCTTTTTCTAAGTGGGAAATGTCTCTAATCTTTTCCATTAATTGTGGTAGCACTTTTTAGGACCAAGACATTTAGTTTCACCCTCCCAAGTAACCCCTGCCTCTTATTCTTACTCTACAAGGCATCTGGTAACCCTATTTAGGAAGTTTAATAGACAATCTCACAGATACCCATCAGCAGCTAGTTAGGTCTGTGTAATACCAGATGCCCACTGTGAAGGGAGTGTTCACACTGTTTCATAAAATCTGTTACTTAGCTCTTTGTCCTTGCTAAGTGGAAAAGCTCCAGCAACGATTTCAACATATGTTTTCAGAATAGACTTTTGCAGTAACAGGGACTGGACTCTGAATTTGGTGGTATATTTGTTAGTTGATTTTCTTCTACTGTTGGCTGCTTGGTGGTACTCGTATTACCTTCTCAGCAGCCTTGTGCCTGTGCTCTGTCACCGAACTAGGAAGCTCGTCCTATCAACACTCAAGTTTCTATCTTGTGTTTCATTCACACTTACCTTTTTGAGGATCCTTGCCTTATTATTTGATTTTCACACACTCGTCCCTACCAAATAGTAGTGTCATTGTTGTTCCTTACCAGAATTAACACAGAGGAGACATGTTCTTTATACGTTTATCCTAAGACAAAACATGAGATTTGAAATAGTGTAGTCAAGAAGACACATGGATGGGTCTTTATTTCTTTTGTTGTTGTTGTTTTTGGTTTTGGTTTTTTGATATTTTTTCCATTCAAAATTTCCACTTCCTCCCCTCCTCCCATTCCCCTTCTACTCCCCCACTTACCCTCTTCCCTACCCCTCTAGTCCTAAGAGAGGGCAAGGCTCTCCCCCCTCCATCCAGGCCTAGGAAGGTGTGCATCCAAACAGACTAGGATCCCAAAAACCCAGTACATGCTGAACTGGCCTTGTCTCATAGTCACACTGATGAATACCTTGAATATCACCATAGAACCTTCATTGGGCAATGGATGGAGATACAGACAGAGACCCACATCAGAGCACTGGACTAAGCTCCCAAGGTCCAGTTGAAGAGCAGAAGGGAAGAGAAGTTGAGCAAGGAAGTCAGGACCACGAGGGATTGGTCCACCTACTGAGACAGTGTGCCTGGGCTAATGGGAGCTTATCAAATCCAGCTGGACTGGGACTGAATGAGCATGTGATCAAACTGGACTCTCTGAATGTGGCTGACTAAAAAGCCATTGATAATGGCACTAGGTCTTTATTTCTTAGTGTTATATTTGAGAGGTCTGTATGATAAAATCTGTATGGTATACTGCCTTTTTCATTTGTAGAAAACCTTGGGGGAGTATCAGCTAAGTACCATGAGCTTGGATGTGAATATATTGAACTGTAGAATTCCCAGTCATTTTCTGCAGAGTTTTCTATTTTTTTTGATGGGGGGGGGGGGCATTTGAAGTCTTGAGACAGCATCTCATGTATCTCAGGCTGGTCTCAAAATCAGTATGTAGCTGAGGGTGACCCTGAAAAACTCCTCTACTTTTATCTGGTACTAGAATTATAGCTATGCACCACAACACCTGGTATTTACATGTGTTTGTAGTAGAAAACCTAAGGATTTTTAATTTGATAACAGAATTTTGTTTCCTTTACTCAGAGACTATATCATAACAAATAATGTTGCCTGTATCACTTTTTTAAGTCACTGAGAAAACAATTACTTTTCTCATGACAATCATGGGAACCTAGCTAATTTCCTTCAACATACATCATCGACATGTGACTTAAATATATATAAGAATTGCATATGTTCTGTACAGATAGTGTCCCATTTTGTATAGTGAACATGAATGTCTGTAGATTCTTTTATTTATAATCTCCTATAAATAACTATGTAGGTCATAGCATCTGCCCTTTTCAGGTATTCCTGGACCCTTCCTAGGCAGAAATAAGAAAG